GCTGGAAGCCCGCGGTCATTCGACATAAGCCCAAGCAGAAGGTGCTGGCTCCTGTTTGTCTTTTACAGCTGCAAAAATCCCAGGGTAGAGAACATATGCTTGGCATAACTCTGGACAGCCTCAAATTCTAAGGAAGGTTAGTGAATCCAGTATAATAATGGAAGGGGATAACCTCTCTCTAATTTGTCTCTTTCCATCCAATATTCTAGGGGCGATTAACCCTGAAAGTTTTTATTCTGGATGAACGGTTGTAATATTTGTCCCAATAAAGTATCAGCCGAGCAGCCCTTCTCCTTTCAAGTCCTCAAGCTTACGGGGATGCTGCACCAGCAAAAACACCAACGATGGCAAGAGTTCTTCCGTTTGTTTCCATTCTCTCTGTGCTGGGTCAGAGAAAAGAACAAGACGTTCCAAACGAGGAAGAGTAAGTCTGTTTTGGGTTTTTGTTTTTACAGTAACCTTGCTTCCCCAGAACTGAAGACGCTTACTTGGCTTTCAGCGTCTCCTCCTGGAAGTTCCAGTGTGGGTCTGCCACCAGCTGTAATTCTCGTAACACCCTCCCAGGTTTGTAGGCGGCATTGATGACCATGCTGAGGACCTAGGGGGGAAGCACACACAAAAATCACTGCCGTGGGTCGATGGGGCTCCTTCTTTCAAAAATAACTCTGCTCCGGACACCACTGGACGCATTTGCTGAACACCTGGCTGGAGCGAGGTGCGGCGAATGGGTGACTGACGGTGCTGGAACACAGAGTAGGCGAACACCATCGATGAGACAAAGGGATAAATAAGCGAGTGGGAAATGCTAAGCCCCCCACTCACCAGGGGAGTGGCAGCCTCCCACAAACTCTTCTTGACCGCAGGAAAACAAACCAACAAACAGCCCCGAACCTCCACCCCAGAGCCATTTCGGACCCTTCCACAGGACTACTCCGCCGAAGGATACAGCGGCTGAGAACTGAATTTCACGTATAAAATGCACTTCAAATGAAACTGATCAAATGGAGACAATAGGTTCAGGCTGATGCTTCCTGACAGACACACCCCATATGTCTGGGCAAGGAGGGGGACAAATGCAATCGTGGCGTACCTGGGCTTGACTCTGTTGATGGACATTTGACACTAGGACAACCTGCTCAGAGGGGTATTGTATTTTATTTTTATTTGTTAAATCATTTTTTGGAGGCTCTTACAACATTCCATACATCAACTGTATCAAGCATCTTTGTACATATGCTGCCATCATCATTTCCAAAACATTTTCTACTTGAGTCCTTGGTATCAGCTCCTCTTTTTCCCCCTCCTCTCCAATC